AAGCATTAAGGAAGAGAGAAAAGGGATATGGAATTGGAAACCGATTCGTGGTCTGTACCGAATCGGAATGCAGAAGCTAAGCTGTTTGTTATCAGTGGAGGTCGTGGCGGCTCAGAATCTTCCGGCGTCTATGAACGGTCTCCGTCTCGGGGTTTGCGTCAGGAAGAAGGAGACGAAAGACGGAGCCGTTCAGACCATGCCGTGTAGGGTTTCTCAAGGTTCTGCAGATTTCGAAGAGACTCTGTTCATCAAGTGCCACGTATACTACTCGCCGGCGAACGGGAAAGGTTCTCCGGCGAAATTCGAGCCTCGTCCGTTTTTAGTCTATCTATTCGCGGTGGACGCTAAGGAGCTTGAGTTTGGAAGGAACGTTGTGGATTTGAGCGATATGATTCAGGAGTCAGTGGAGAAGATGAGTTATCAAGGAGCTAGGGTTAGGCAATGGGATATGAGCTGGGGTTTATCAGGTAAGGCTAAAGGAGGTGAATTGGTACTCAAGTTAGGGTTTCAGATCATGGAGAAAGACGGTGGAGCTGGGATTTATAGCAAACAAGGTGAGCTAGGGATCAAACCAAACAGCAAGACTAAGACTTTCTCTGGTTCTTTTGGTCGAAAACAGTCGAAGACTTCGTTTAGTGTCCCGAGCCCAAAAATGACAAGCCGGAGCGTGGCTTGGACACCTGTGACTGGTGCAGATTCAGAATCTGATCTTCAAGTGATTGAGCATTTAAATCTTGACGAACATGAGGAGAAACCGGCTCAGGAAACAAAGGAGCCAGAGCAAAAAGCTGAAGATGATCAAGAACCCGATTTCGAAGTTGTGGACAGAGGAATTGAGTTTGATGACGACTTGGAAACTGAGAAATCCGATGATGGAACCATTGGGGAAGTAGTAGCCGTTGAGACAAAGGAACAACATGTTAATGTTAATGATCCAAGGCACATGGTGAGACTAACCGAGCTGGATTCTATTGCGAAGCAGATTAAAGAGCTTGAAGCCATGATGAAGGGCGAGAGTAAAGAAGGGGAAGGTGACACAGAATCGCAGAGGCTAGATGAAGAGGAACAGACTGTGACCAAGGAGTTCCTTCAGTTGCTTGAGGATGAAGAAACTGAGAAGCTCAAGTTTTACCAGCACAAAATGGAGATCTCCGAGTTGCGGTCTGGTGAATCCGCAGACGAAGAAACCGAGAATTACCTCTCAGATCTTGGAAAAGGCATCGGTTGCGTTGTTCAGACAAGAGACGGTGGTTACTTAGTCGCTATGAACCCTTTGGACACGGTGGTCTCGAGGAAAGACACTCCTAAGCTCGTCATGCAAATCTCTAAACAGATTGTGGTAACCTCCTTAACCAATGTTTTCGATAACAAGAACCTTACAAAACATGAATGAAATCTGAAATTTCTGTTACAGGTACTTCCAGAAACTGGATCAGCGACTGGCTTCGAATTGTTCCACCGAATGGCGGGTTCAGGTAAGGAACTAAACTCGAAGATATCTTCACTTATGGCGATGGACGAGCTTATGGGAAAAACAGGGGAGCAAGTAGCTTTTGAAGGGATCGCGTCAGCGATTATACATGGACGGAACAAAGAGCGAGCGAACACAAGCGCGGCGCGGACAATTGCAGCTGTGAAAACAATGGCTAACGCGATGAGCAACGGAAGAAGGGAGAGAATAATGACGGGAATCTGGAACGTGGAGGAGAATCCACTGACTTCGGCAGAGGAGGTTTTAGCCGTCTCTTTGCAAAAACTAGAAGAAATGGTTGTAGAAGGACTAAAGATTCAAGCTGACATGGTGGAAGAAGACTCTCCTTTCGAGGTTTCCGCTGCCAAAGGTCACCAGAATCCACTAGAGTCGACCATCCCGCTCGACGAGTGGCTCAAGGATAACCGCACGCAGAAAACATTGACGATTTTGGCGACGGTGCAGCTCCGAGACCCGACGAGGAGATATGAGGCGGTGGGAGGGACAGTGGTGGTGGCGGTGCAGGCCGAGGAGGAGGAGGAGAAAGGCTTAAAGGTGACAAGTTTGCACATCGGGGGAGTGAAGCGAAATGCGCCAGAAAAGCAGAGGCTGACCGCAGCGCAATGGCTTGTGGAGTACGGAATGGG